TATACACGTGTCTATATATATATATATATATATATATATATATCGATATGTATGAGGCCTACGGCAAAAGGGCTGGACCAGAGTGCTTCCGCGCTGCCGTCCGATCCGAGAGCCAAGAGAGGCTCGCGGGCCTCGCGGAGCTCCTGGGCTCCGCGTCGCTGCCCGTGCGGGGGGGGGGAGGAGTAGGGGGAGAGGGGGGGGGAGGGGGAGGAGAAGGAGGAGGAGGAGGAGGAAAGGGGAGGGGGAGGAGGAGGAGGAGGAAAAGGGAGGAGGAGGAGGAGGAGGAGAAGGAGGAGGGGGAAGGAGGAGGCATACCAAGGGCCGGCACAGCGCCCGGGGGGCGGGCCTCCTCGCCGGCTCGGGGAGGCCCGGCGGCCTGCAGCCGAAGGCTCGGCGGGCTCCCTCGGAAGGCCGCGGGGCTCCCGAGGCGCCACGCCGCCTGCCGAAGGGGTGCCTGCCCCTCCCGCGTCACCTCAGGGGCGCGCTGCCGAAGGACAGCCGACCCGCTCCACGAGGCGGCGCGGAGAGGAGATGCAAGGGCCCGGGAGGCGGGGCATTGTCCACCCTCGGCGAGCGGGGCGCCTGCCAGCAGAGGCGGCCAAGGATGGGCCGCAAGGGCAAGGATGCAGGGGCACCCTTGGCTCGCCATCGTTCGGACGTCCACTCCGTGTGTGTTTTTGTTCGGTTTCGTGCGCGGTTCTTCGCCAAATGATCAAGGATGCTCCTCGATGGTCCTCGCCGAAGGGAAAATGCACACGTCCGAGCGATGCCGAGTTGGGACAGTCGTTCATCCTTGCTGTGCGGGTCGAATGCAGGGAGGCTGTCGGCGGTGGCCCCAAGCCCACCACCAGCGGTCGGGAGGACGCTCTCTTGCACTCGCCCTCCTTGGCGAGCGCTCCTCGGTGAGCCGGTGGAAGACAGTCTAGGGAAGACAGGACCGACATGATCCACGCCCGCCGTCGCCGATTGAGGATGAACCACGGACTGGCGGTGACCTAGATGGAAGGTGACCAAGGTATGCACCGACGTTTCCGCGCTCAGTCTTGGTCATGGCCCTCGTCTTCCCCTTCCGGGAAAAAGGAGGGAGGGCGGAGGTGGAGGTGGGCTGGGGGAGGCAGGAGGCAGGATGGGCGTGGAGGGGAAGGCGGGGACCAGGCGGAGCAGGGACTGGAGCAGGATGCGCATCTTCCTCCGCGTCAATGTCGCGCAGTCGAATCGAGCTGCCTGGCCGCAGGGAGCCAAGACAGGCACGGTCTGAGACCATGGCGAGAGAGATAGAAAGAGATAGGGAGGATGCATAGGCAAACGTAAGCATACATGATCGCGGGCTCCGGGCCCACGGCCCCCCCCCCCAAGATGGGATGGGTCCCAGGGTCCTCGGGCCCCTCCCCCCAGATTGGATGAGAGGAGGCGGAGGAGGAGGAGGAGGACGAGGAGGAGGAGCGGGAGGCGGAGGAGGAGGAAAAGGAGGAGGACGAGGAGGACGAGGAGGACGACGAGGACGACGACGACGACGGACGACGGACGACGGACGACGGCGGACGACGACGACGGACGACGACGACGACGCCAACGACGACGATGACAACGACGACGACGACGGCAACGGCGTCGGCGGCGACGACGTCGAGCACTGGAGCTTTCGGAAAGCAAGTCAGCATGACGCCAAAATCACAGCCACACGCACACCCACACCACACCCGCAAGGGGGGAGGGGGGGAGGACATTGAGTGATCCCACACACACCCACAGCAACACACCACACCCACACCACATCCACAGTGGGAGGGGGGGGGGACCATCGCGCCGGGGGGTGGGGGGGGCCGATGGCATGAGCATTGGGGGGGGCCCAACCCTCGACCATACATATGAGCTGTCATTTACCCATGCACTGATATGCCAATATACTCTATCCGCCACCGCGCTTCTGGGCACGGAGTGGGCGTGTCCTCTGGTCATTGGCCGAATCCTCGAAGCCTCAATCCTCACTCCTGACGAGTCTTTCAAGGGGCCCGGACCCAAAATTCTCAAAATCTCTCGGGGCTTGTCGCGTCTCGTCGGGGGCCTGTCGCGTCTTCTCGCATAGATTGGCCCAAAGGGCCCCAAGAGGCTCCCAAGACGGTCTAGGAGGGCCCCGAGTCAACGAACGATCGGTCCAAGACGCCCAAGATGGCCCCAGATGGCCCAAGATGCCCACCAAAGAGGCGTCCAAGACGCCTCCAGAGGCCCCCTAAAAGGGCCTCCGGGAAGCCCCGGGGAGGCATAAAAAAAGAGCCTCCAGGAAGCCCTTTGGAGGCACAAATCATGTACGTCCTGTAAAGGTTTGAAAAACTTGGGCATTTGCTTCTTTTCGGCTTTCCGGCTGCCCGAGACGGCCCAAGAGGACCCCAAGATCGCCCTAGGATCGCCCAAGAGGCCTCCAAGAAGGCCCCATAGTCGCCCACGGCCCCAAGAGGGCCCGAAGCGGGCCCCAGAGGCCTCCAAGACGCCCACCTTGGCCTCCGAGACGGCTCTGAAGCACCCCAAGAGGGTCCCAAAGACGGTTCGGAGGGCCAGCAACGCCCTAAGACTGCCAAAGAGACTCCCGAGGATGCCCTACAAGACCTGAAAAGGCCTAAGGAGGCCCCAGGAGGCCTCATCCTGCTCTTCCTCCGTGGCCCTTTGCCTCGTGCCACGTTGTCAGCTCGACGCGCTGGGCGGAAGGTGGTCTCTGGAACCTTGTGGCTAGATCACTGGGGCAATGTCGTTGATGTTTCGCTGACTCCTTCCCTTCTCCTCCTCGACCTCCTCAGCGAGGGCCTCAGCGCGAGGCGGAACTTCGTTTCGCCAAGAAGCTCGGTCATCCTGAAGGCACGCGTGCTACATTCGATCTTGTGCGTATGAGCATGTGCAAGCTCACCAAGCGTCAGACTCGGCAGGAGCATGTCCTGCTGATTTCGTGTGCGTGCGATGCGATCTGGACACAGGCACGTGCGTGTGATGTTGGTTGTTTAACTGACGGCCTCTCTGAGTGGCGTGGGGCTCGTGACACTCTGCATCACCTAGTGTATCTCTGCTCTAGGCCCGAGACTGTCCAAGCCAGGAGTGAACTCGAGATTCCGAGTGCCATTCTTGAAGAGGGGGCCCAGTCTGACGATCTAGTTTTCACGCGTGGTTGTTTCGTGTTTGATAACAAAGACGTCCACCCTCCGGCAACTCATTATACCTGTGATGTCCTTGACGGCGCAGGTGCAGGGTTAGAACGGCAGCCCGAGGAATCGCAGGACACTCCCAGAACGTCGAGCTGGCGGCCGACAGGAGCTGCAGCAAGCAGGCACTCCGCTGCCTGCAACGCTCCTCGTGGTCCATCGCCATGCTGGAACCAGGTACCAAAGCTATATTGCTATCCTCAAAAGTATCGTGCCAGGAGGTCGGCCACATTCACCAGCGATGGTTGAGCATGCAGCAGCGGCCCGGAGTGGACAGATTGCAGATCGCCCAACTCGTCTGGCCCTTGACTGTAAGGCTGTGATTGGTCGATTTGTTAGACCCAGAGGCCTCTTTGGAAGCAACTGCCAGCAGCCAATCAATTTGCTGATGCGCGTAGGTTTGCCCAGGAGTTACCAGGACGGAGTTCTTGTCAACCCTTCCTGTGAAGGCCCTTTAGATGGTGATGACAAGCATGTGGTTTTTGCGCGTCACGCCGTGGACCAGCACGCCAAGAAGGCCCTGATGGGCCATCCTACTCCTTATCCTACTTCCTTGGAACGAATTAAAATATATCGGGTACGTGCCACTGCTTTTGTCAAGTTAGCCCGGGCCATCCTTCCACTGTATCAGAGTGAGGTTAGATGGAAATGAGCCCCGTGTTTCGCAATCGGACGCAGTCGACAGGGTCGGAACCAGCATCTGTGGCGAAGGTCGAAGCTAAGAATGCAGTGCAAGCAACGCTGGATAGTGTGTGATCTTCCTGGTAGGCCCATGACTGGTTGCCGTGGCCCGCCTCCTGCTCTGAAGAAACTGCTGCAAGATCCAAATGGGCAGCTCCTCGTTGCCGTGGCTGGTACGGCCTTGGAAGCTCCTCGGTCTGGGGCCAGCAGGGGCGTGTCGGGAACAACAAGTTCTGTGTTCAACATGTGGAGAGTGGAGTCGGGGGCGGGCCGTTAAGCTTGCTGAGGTCTGCGGTAAGCCCACGCGTAAGGGGCTGGATGTCCTTGGTCGTTCTAGGCGTTGCCTGCGTCACGACTCGAGAGTGGAGGATCTTCCTCTAAGCCTGAGTCCATTGTCACCTCAGTGCCACGAGCTTTGTCGGACGCCCCTTCGGCCCCTGCACATGAGCAGAGAATGGCGGCGCCGATGGCCAGAATCAAAGCTGAAGAAGCGGCTGCGAAGGCAGCCAAGGAGGGTTGAACTCGGCTGGGAGAACACATGGTCCGAAATTAATACAACTTTGCCCAAACGTTTGGGCACATAGGCATATCCGAAAAAGGCAGAGACAGCGGTGTTTCGCCGTAAGCGCCTTCGATACGAATGAGAGAGAGGAGGGAGAGGGGAGATATACGAATGAGAGAGAGGGGACAAGAGAGAGTGAGAGAGACAAAACAAAGAGCGAGGGAGAGAGAAGGAGAGAGAGAGAGAGAAAGAGGGAGAGGGGATGGGAGAGAGGGGGATATAGATGGAGGGCGGAATCATGAGAGGATGAGAAAGAGAGAGAGAGAGAGAGAGACAGAGAGTGAAAGACAGAAAGAGGGAGAGAGAGAGAGAGGAAGAGAGAGAGAGAGAGAAAGAGAGAGAAAGAGAGAGAGAGAGAAAGAAAGACACAGAGTGAAAGAGAATCAGACAGAGAGTGAAAGACACAAAGAAAGAGAGAGAGAGAAAGAAAGAGACAGAGCGAGAGAGAGAGAGAGAGAGAGAAAAACAACCAACCAACCAGCCAACCCAGGAAACAAACAAGGACACGCAGGGTGTGGGATGGAGCGCCCCGCCCCAGCGCGCACGGCGACCCCCGGGGAGGCCCTGCCTCACTCGCAGCCCGCAAACGCCCAGGTGTCCCCGGTGTCGGCGAACTGCAGGGGCCGGCCCAGGCGGTTGGTCTGCACGCTCTGCGGGTTCACGTGGTTGTGCGGGTACGCCCCCGCGGGCCGCGTGAGCTCGCGGAAGAAGCCCTTGATCTCGGAGACCACGCCCTCCGACACGATGGCCGGCGTCTGGTAGATGTCGAGCCTTGGGGATCCCAAGCCCGTGCGGTGACAGACAGTGCGGTGACCTCGGAACCCCAAGAGACCTCACCGCACGGTCCGTCACCGCACGGTGTTGGGACCCTGGAGGCCCTAGTCGTCCGAGACATCCTCGAAGAACGACCCGAGTCCTCAAAACCGTGCGGTGACCCCGAATCCCCACCGACTCACCACACGGTGTGGTCTGATGATGGGCTTGTCTTCCACCACCACCACGATGAGTTGGAGGGGGAAGGAGGAGGAGGACGAGGAGGAGGAGGACGAAGAGGAGGAGGAGGAGGAGGAGGAGGAGGTTGAGGAGGAGGAGGAGGAGGAGGAGGAGGAGGAGGAGGAGGAGGAGGAGGAGGACCCCTCCCCGCTTGGGGGTCCCCGAGAGCCAGGCGATGGCCCAGCCGTGCGCGATGCGCACCGGCATGGAGTTGGACCCCATGGCTCGGGCGCTGCGCGGCCCCCCTCCGCGGGGCACGGGGCAGACGCGGGGCGGGCTCGGCGGAGCTGCCGCCGACTGCTCTGGGGCCCGGCCTGGGCCAAGATGGCTGCGGAGGGGGGGGGCAGAAGCAGGGAGGGTGGGCGTGCAATCCCCGTCGACCGTGGCTTATTATCCAGGGATGAAGACATAGGCTCGCCGTCTTCAGATGATATCCCATGAGCTGATATCCCGTGAACGGGTCGGGCTCGCCCCCCCCCCCCCGGCCGAATCACTTCTGGGCAGAAGCGCAGGACAGAGGGGGGCCGCGGCGCAGGAGCGCGCGCCGAGGAGCAGGAGCGGCGGGGCGCACCCGGAGGCGCAGGCGAGGGAGGAGCCGCGGGAGCAGCAGACCAGGAGCGGAGGGTCGAGGAGGGGGGGGGGGAGGAGGAGCAGGAGGAGGAGGAGGAGGAGGAGGAGGAGGAGGAGGAGGAGGGGAGGAGGGGGGGAGGGGAATGGGCGAGGAGGAGGAGGAGGAGGAGGAGGGGAGGAGGAGGAGGCGGAGGAGGAGGAGGAGGAGGAGGAGGGAGGAGAATGGTCGAGGAGGGGGGGGGGGGGGGGCGCAACACATCTCCAGAGGCCCCCCCGGAGGTCTCCGCAAGGCCCCACGGGGAGGGCGCCCCACGGAGGGCCCGTGGGGCGCTCGGGGAGCGGCCTCCTCGAGCTTCCTCCGCGAGCCCTCCTCGACAAGCCCCTCCTCGGCACGCAGAGCCTCAAAAGCTCCCTCCTCGGCCCCAGCAGGCGAGGACGAGCGAGGGGCGCCCCCTGGCGCATGGGGGGTGGGCATCGCCCACAGAGCGCACCCGCGGCGGCTGCCTGGCCCCCCGAGCCCCCGAGAGCACCCGCCGACCTCGCCCGGGCCGTCTGCCGCCGTCCGCTCGCGGGGCCGCCGCCGCCGCCGAAGTCCGCCTTCTGTCTGTCCGCCGCCCGTCGCGTCGAACGCCGACGACGCGGCGTCGTCGACGAGGTCCATTGAGCAGGGACCGACCGTGACAGCCTTCCTAGAGTTTTACCCAGAAGTGTTCTCAGAACCCGGAAGTGCTCCAAGAGCAAGAGCGATGTCCTCAGAACAGTGTTCCCCGAACGTGGCACAGGACAGCCTCAGCCGGAGATGTCCCGAGAACGGCTCGTGCAGACCACAATGGTTATGAGAGCCTTCCTTGGTGGGCCTGCAGGCGAGCCAGGACGCTACGCCACCAGTTATAGGGGAACGAAGAGTGACACAAACATACAAACTCGGCGGTCCGCGCGGATTTGTCGGATCCGCGCTGGGGACTCCTGGCGGTGCCTCTCCGGCGCCGCCCCTGGCGCGCTCCGCTCGCCAGGGAGAGGGGGGGTCCAGCCCCGCTCCGAGCAATCCGCGCGGACCTCCGAGCGTTCATGTTCATATCACTGCTTACTCCCCCAACTTACGCCGAAGCCGTCGCCGCCGCCGCCGCCGCGCGCCAGAGGGGTCGGAGCCGCGGCGGGGTCGGCGCCCGGGGGGCGGCCTGCCGAGAAGGCGCGGGGGGCGTCTCGGAGGGCAGGGGGCCCGCCGGGAGCGGGGGGCGGCCACCGAGAGGGGCCGTCCAGGAGGGGGGGGGTCGCGCCTCGTGGCCGGAGGGCACGCGCGCGCGGCCCACAGGGGGGCGGGGGGGGGGGGCGGGGGCGCGTTGGGGTATACGACGAGGCGCCACGAAGTCCGGGAAAGCATCATGGCCCCCGCCATGAGCCCCCCCCCCCAGTGTTACCAGCCTCGAACGTATCCCTATCCCTAGGATGGACACGCCAAAAGGCGATGACAATCTTCGGGATGCGTCCTCAAAAAAGAAGGGAATCCCTGAGATTGGCATCGTGATGAGGAGATGCCCAGCATAGGGACAGGGATATGTTCCAGGCTGGTCACAGTAGTCAGCACCCCGCGCTCTGCCGCCCGCGACGCTGGAAGGCCCCACAGGCTTCGCGGCCAGGCCCCCTGGAGGCCGGGGCGGGCCTCCGCGAGGCCCCCCCTCGGCGCTCTCGGAGGCCCGGCCGCCTCCCGAGGAAGCCCACCAGCCCTCGCGCCATCCCGCGCAGGTCGGCGGCGCCGCCGCCGTCTCGGCGGGCAGGCGGCGGGGGGAAGCCAAGAGAGCTACTCCAGATTTCGTAATAAAAGGGAGGGGGACTCAACCCTCCCGGACGAGAAGTCTTAGACCCCCCCCGTGGGAGAACCCTCCAAAACATCGGCCCAAGACCCCCCCAGGCCCTCCAAGATAGCTTGGAAAAAGACCCCCCCCGAAATGAGGCCCCCCTCCCTTGATTACGAAATCTGGGGTATCGATACACCGCTGCCCCCCGGACCTCTCCAAGGGGTGCATCCTGACCAGGATGTCTCGAGCCACGGGGGCCGCCCTTAGGGGGGGCTCAGCAGAGAGCAGGCGAGGGACGCGGCGGCGGTATGGGTACTTACCTCTGGAGGCCTGGAAATTGGCGCTCACACCACAGGAGGGCTGCCTCCACAGGGGGAAGCTGCTCCTAGATCTCGGTGCTGGTGGCAATCTTTCGGTCACCTTGGAAGCCAGCATATCACCACCATCACCGAGATCGGGATCTTCTTCCCTCGCTGGAGGCACACCGCCGATATTAGGGGAACAAAAAATGGCATCGACATAAAAACTCGGAGGTCCGCGCGGACCTCCGTTTTGTATGTTTATGCCACTTGTCGTTTCCCTACTTCCCTCGGTGGAGGCACACCGCCGATGCTGGTGTTGGTGCCAACTTCCAGGCCTGCGACCCGGTATATACCTCCTCCTCCCCTGCGCGACTGGCCTCCTCCGCCCTGCGCTGCAGCTCGCCCGCGCCCTCAGCCGCGCGCTGGAGGCCGTCGCGGCTGTCCGCCGCCGCCTCGGCAACGGCGGTGGCTCGGCTCTTCGGGAGGCCCCCGGCGGCGGCGCCACCGTCGTCGGCGTCGTCGGCGCGCCGCCGCCGACGGCGCCGAAGATCTCCGACGGCATGGCTTTTTTGGAGACCCGTGCGTGCTTCCTGGATGAGGAGGAGCAGATCGGATGGGGACCAATCGAGGGGAGCGTCGTTGGCTCCCGAAGGCTTCCGGCATGACTCTCGGAGGCCTGGGCGTGCTGCATGCCTGGACATCGGAGGGCGTCGTTGGCTGTATGATTTTTTTGTGGGGCTTTTCGTGGATACCTCCCAGGCCTTCTCAGCAGAAGGCCCCTCTCGGGTCGGGCGAAAGGGGGGGATAGCCAAGGGGGGGGTTGAGAACCACCTCACGTAGCTGCTTCTCCCGGCGCCTCCCGGCGCCAGAGGCGGCTACGTGTCGAGGAATGGGCCCCTCGGTGAGGCCGAAACCAGCTGCATGCAGCAGATTTCGTACCCCCCCCTTTCCCAGTCCCTCCCCTTCGTCCGGCCCGACAGAGAAAGGAAGGGAGGGAGGAGGGGGAGGAGGAGGAGGGGGGAGAAGGAGGAGGGGGAGGAGGAGGTGGAGGAGGAGGAGGGAGGAGGAGGAGGAGGAGGGGGGAGGAGGAGGACAAACTAGGATGATAGGAGGAGGAGGAGGAGGAGGAGAGGAGGAGGAGGAGGAGGAGGGAGGAGGAGGAGGAGGAGGGAGGAGGAGCAGGAGGAGGGAGGAGGGAGGAGGGGAGGAGGAGGAGGAGAGGAGGAGGAGGAGGAGGAGGAGGAGGAGGAGGAGGAGGGAGGAGGAGGAGGAGGGAGGAGGAGAGAGGAGGAGCAGGAGGAGGAGGAGGAGGAGGAGGAGGAGGAGGAGGAGGAGGAGGAGGAGGAGGAGCAGGAGGAGGAGGAGGAGCAGGAGGGGAGAGGAGGAGGAGGGGAGGAGGAGGAGGAGGAGAGGAGGAGGAGGAGGAGGAGGAGGAGAAGGAGGAGCAGGAGGAGGAGGAGGAGGAGGAGGAGGAGGAGGAGGAGGAGGAGGAGGGGAAGGAGGAGGAGGAGGGCCTCGCCTCGGGCTGCAGCTCAGCAGCTGCGCCTCGCCCGGGGGGGCGCTGCGGGCGGCCCGGGCCTCGCCCCGCCCACGGCCGCCGCAGAGTCTTCCCACGGAGAAAAAGGGTGGCCCGGACGCCCGAAGCTCCTGCTAGACGCTCCGTCAGGCCTTCTCAGAAGAAGCTCCTGCGAGACGCCCGAAGCTCCTGGGGGCTCTTCGTGGATACCTCCCAGGCCTTCTCAGCAGAAGGCCCCTCTCGGGTCGGGCGAAAGGGGGGGATAGCCAAGGGGGGGGGTTGAAACGCAGCTCACGAAGCTGATTCTCCCGGTGCCTCCCGGCGCCAGAGGCGGCTACGTATCGAGGAATGGGCCCCTCGGTGAGGCCGAAACCAGCTGCATGCAGCAGATGTCGTACCCCCCCTTTCCCAATCCCTCCCCTGCGTCCGGCCTGACAAAGAGAGGAAGGGAGGGAAGAGGGGGGGAGGAGGAGTACCGGCTTAGGGCGGGCCGGCGAAACGAGCGGCCCGCCCTAAAGACTGGCCTCGGGATGCGGCCCGGGCCTCGCCCCGCCCACGGCCGCCGCAGAGTCTTCCCACGGAGAAAAAGGGTGG